CCAACAGAATCCCACTGAAAACAGACATCCCTGATGGGGCGGTGCAAATCCTCCTCCTCTGTGGGTTGCCCCCAAATCTACGACCGCCATCTAATCACAAAGAGCCTTCAGACAAACCCGGTACATTCACAACTGACTCTGAGCAGCAATCTTGGAGATTGTGAAGACAAGGGACTACCAAAGAATAACATTAGAGCATTTTGGAGAAGCCTATTTCACCTCTGCTTTTGACTAGGTCTTAAACCAGACTCAGGAAGACAAAAGTGGTCCAGACCTGTCTTACGGCAACCTGGACTTGTCATCATGGATCGTGGTGTAATGTCATCTCTGAAAGATGGTCATATTAGACATGCCTTCCATCCTCTAAACTTGCTATCCTGACATGTGTGGGCACATGTTACGCTACTCCCTGGCCTTGGCTTTCCTGCCTTGCTTTAGAGTTTCAGTCTCTCCTGTGGCGGTTCTTGTGCAGAGTTCATCACAGTGTCCTCCGGGGCTCTGTCTGAGTTCCTGGTGCTCTGTGTGAATTTGTATTGCTCTTTCCCCTCTCAGCTTTGGCCCACTGATTAAAACCGTCTATAACGGTGTGTGTGTGTGTGTGTGTGTGTGTGTGTGTGTGTGTGTGTGTGTGCATGTGTCTGTGACAGGGTTTCTCTATGTAGCCCTGGCTGTCCTGGAACTTGCTGTGCAGACCTGGATGACCTCAAACACAGAGAGACTGGCCTGCCTCTGCCTTCCACATGCAGAGATGAAAGGTGTGTGCCCATGTGAGTCGGTGGTGGAGCACACCTTTAATCCCAGCACTCGGGCGGCAGAGGCAGGAGAATCCCTGAATGTGAGGCCAGCCTGGTCTACAGAGTGAGTTCCAGGACACCCAGGGCTACTCAAGAGAAACTCTGTCTCAAAAAACTAAAAGAGGGGCACCATACTGGGTTTAGTGCCCAAAATCTTAATACTCCTCAACACACACACACACACACACACACACACACACACACACACACACTGATTTTTTATTCACTTCTAGCATCATCCTAATGTGCCCAAAAGGACAGTTTCTATTACATAAAATCTTAGAGGTTCTTTCTCAGGCTCCTTCCACATCATGGAAGTGAAGGGACTACCTATTCCCAGCATCAGCCCCTAGAAGGCTAGTGCCCTCCAGGCACTACCTAGAACCCTCACTGGACCCTGCCAGTTCCCTGGTCTTCTCCTGTGGGGTCTTTCCCTCGGCCAGTGGCCTCTTGGGCCCTGGGGGAAACTCCTCTGGTGTTCATTCATCTATTCACTCATTCATTCGTCTCACAGTTTCCAGAGCACTGCAGTCTGCAGTAAGGCTGAAGGGGTCACTGCCTCCCAAGAGCATCTCTTACAAAGACATGATACACCACATCCCAGCACCAAGGGTAATGACACGCTGCACACATCAGATCCCAGCACCCACCACCACATACCACACACATCACCACCCATCACCGAGGATGGTGACACACAGCAGACACCACATCCCATCACTGAAGGTTATGACACACCGCACACATCACATCCTGTCACCGAGGGTAACGACAGGAGCACACACCGAATCCCATCACCAAGGTAACTCTGTTGCGGGATCTCATGCAAGCTGAATCCCAAAGTGACGCTGAATTTCTTTTGTATTCTCATTATCTAAATGGAATCCTTTACCTTTCTTCAACGCATTGTGGGGTTTTGATGTTGTCAATTGTCGGTTTCATTGCTGACAGCATATGAGAGACTTTAATCCTGTTACTGAGTGAGTATCAAGAGACAGACTGTTATAGGGTTGGGAAGATGGTTTAGTGGTTAAGAGCATCGGCTGCTCTTCTAGAGGACCAAGAATTCAGTTCCCAACACCTATATGGCGGCTCACATCATCCATAACTCTGGTTTCAGAGTACTGGGTGTCTTCTTCTAATCTCCATGGACACCAGACATGCATGTGGTACACACACATGTGCAGGCCAAACCACACACACACATAAAATAAAATAGAATAAAATAAATATTTCAAATAATAATGTTTAGAGTTAGGATATTGTATCACAGACTAAAAGAGTCACCTTGAGAACCTATCCCACAGAATCTCCCTAGGCTCTTACCTTCTGTCCACATCTTCTTCAGTGCAGCTGACAGATCTCACTGATTGATCCTGAGCCAATCAGATCATTCGTCATAGGACCAGGGTCCAGAGCCCCTCACTCAGCGGTGTCTGCAGGGGCCCCCAGCCCTGGGATTTCCTGTGTGTTCCTTGTTTACCCTCTGGCCACCTGTGGGAGAATCATGAGAACCCTGTCTTGTGAGTCTTGGACTGTCGGGGCCATGTGTGGCTTTTTCAAACGGACCTTTGTGTTAGTTACACTTCTCCATATTCCCTCTTCTACTCTGCCCTTCACTGCCCCTCTCAATTGAACCCTTCCTGTTGTTCTGCTACTCCTCTAGCCCTTTATACCAGTATGTTCTGGCTTCCCTCTTTCGGAAGTACCCACCCCCTACCATGGCCCCTTTCTAAATTTCTGACCTCTGTGGGTATGCCAACTGAAACACACGTGTCTAGAGATCTAGAAACACACACAAATGAGAGAAAACATGCAGTGTTTGCAGTGTTTGAGGTGTCTGGATTACCTCACGCATAATGGTTGTTTGTAGCTCTACCCAGTCTCACTGTGGAGCCCTGGCTGGCCTGGAACTGGCTTTGTAGACCAGCCTGACCTTGAACTCACAGAGATCCACCCGCCTCTGCCCCCTGAGTGCCAGGACTCAAGGTGTGAATTATCACACAGGACCTAATTTCATTTTTCTTAACAGTTCAATATTGCACTGTGTAAATGTACCACATTTTTATTATCCATTTTTCAGTTGTTGGATATATAGAAACCTACTATTATAGAAGGTTCCAAAAATACATACTTATATAAAAATACTTTTAATCAAATAACCCTACAGTGGGAGTAGAGGGACAGTACCTCAATCAACACCCTGGCTTGAAAATATTTTTTTTGAAACAGGATTTCTCTGTATAGGAGAAACTGGCTGTCCTGGAACTCACTCCATAGACCAGGCTGGCTTTGAACTCAGAGATCCCCCTGCCCCTGCCTTCCTAATACTGAGATTAAAAGTGTGAGCCACCAACAACCACCCAGCTACCCTCCAGAACTTGTTGGTGAGATCCTTGCCAAAGACCTACATACATGAGTCACAGAACATGGAGAAATCAACCTGGGATTGACCTAGATGCTTCACCCCTACTGGGGTGCCGAAAGGTGCTAATCACAATATTAGAACAGAAAAGGAATCATCACTCTCACCCAGCAAGCTAGAATAATGCCTGGCGTGGCAAGATGTGCCCATGGAGCAAGAGTGGCAATAATGTTTCAGAAGTAACCAGCCACCTTCAGCTTGAATCCAAGACCTGCTCCATTAGAAAGAACCTTTACCTGGCACTGCTAATGCGACCAATAGCCTGTGGCTATTTAAGTCAGAAGCCCTACGGGAGAGAGAACCTACTACTAGCTAAATGGACATAGTGGATCAAAACAACTTCCAGTGACTTATTGTTATATCCAATGCATCTCTCGACCCTCCTCAGAGAAACTCCACCCTACAGGATATGACACTTAACACGGAGACCCTCAGCCGTCCAATGTGGAGAGAATAAGAGACTGTGTAGTCCTGGGTTGCACATATGGCGCTCCTCCCCAGAAGGCTCAGGAAGAGGGACAGAAAAATTATTTTTCAGAGGTGGTGGGCAACTTCAAGAGAATAGTGTTTTTGGACACAAGAAGATTGTTGCACATATGAATTCATAGCAATTGTAACAATACGCACAAGACCTACACAGTCTCAGGCTAGATAAAAATCCTACCATGGAGATGGGGGCTGGTCACAAAAATCCCACCAATAGCCGAGGAACTATTGACATGTGTTCGTTTAGCTGGGGAGGGCACAGGGAGAGTCGGTTTTCTTTATTGGTGCAATCCCAGGCAGATTCACCATACCCTAGGGCAGACTCCACTCCCAAGAGTAGTTGGGCAACACAAACTGGAATTGAGGCAGGGAGAAAACTCTTAACTGGATAGATAGATTGGTGAGGGTTGAAAGAGTGGATATGGGAAGACTTAGGGAAGGAGGTGAATTTGGTCAAAATACGTTGTATGAAATTCTCTAACAAGTAATAAAATATTTTTTGAAAGAGTGTGTTTGTTAGAGAACCAGTGGGAAGCAGAGTTACTGAACAAGACACTCTCTGACCGCCTCATGCTGCCTCCAGGAGTTCAGATGAATATGTGCCTGAGGTGTGCAGAAGGCACAACACTGTTTAGAGCCTGCAGGCAATAAGAGAGCTCCAGAAGGTGGCAGGGAAGGGGAAGGCCAGGCAGGGACAGGAGTTCAAGGTAAGGAGAGGGCTGGAGACTAGTGATCAGGAGACCAAGGAGAGTCACAGAGCAGGGTCAGCCATGAACAGGAATGGCGGGTGCCTGAGGGGAAGCTGGTGGCCTTGCTGCAATCCCCCTCCTTTCTCTGTGCTGCCCTGTCTGCTGCTGAAGCACAGATGCACTGGATGAGCAGATGATCCTGGTCAGCAGGTAAAGCCCGGAGGTCACACTGCAGGATTTATCCACAGATCTGGGTCTGGTGGAGTAGGTGGTTGACAGAGACCCCTTCTTGGCCCAGACTTGTGGGCCCTGAGTCTTAGTCACCCATTTCCTCCAGGCTTGGATTGGAGAGCGGCCTGCCCCTCCTCCAACCCCACCCTGATCTGGAAGGATAAATGGAGAGGGAACTTGAGGCTGGGTAAGGAGATTCAAAGACAACCAAGGTGGCCTCCTCTCCCAGAGCCTCTGACGTCTGCGTGCTGGCCAAGCTGACTTGAACTCCCGAAATTGGACCTACTTTCCTGCTCCCTGGTTCCTGGCCTGTTCTGCACCCGACAATCTGTTGACCCTACCCCAGCTTTTACCTCCAACTGGGCTCACATTGCTCCTCACTGTTTCCAAATGCTGAATCTGCTGCTGCTGGCACTGCCCCTGTTCAGCCTGGTGCATGCAGCCCCCGGTGAGTTCTGCCCTGGGCCCTCCCTGACCCACACAGCTCATAGACCAGGGTACTAAGATTGTCCCTACCCCCAGCTCCAGCTGTGCCAAGAGTGGGCATTGTTGGGGGACAGGAGGCACCTGGGAACAAGTGGCCCTGGCAGGTGAGCCTTCGTGCCAATGAAACCTACTGGATGCATTTCTGCGGCGGCTCCCTCATCCACCCACAGTGGGTGCTCACCGCGGCACACTGTGTGGGACCGTGAGTCTCTCTGGGCTCGGCAGGGTGGGACAAGGAATGGGTGGGAGAGTGAGGTGGGGTAGGATCCTCACACAGCATCTCTGGGTTTCTTGAGGTGGCATGGGTTTCCCAAACAAGTCTCTCTTCTCTCTAGGACTATTGCTGATCCCAACAAGTTCAGAGTACAGCTTCGAAAGCAGTACCTCTATTACCATGACCACCTGCTGGCTGTGAGCCGGATCATCACACACCCGACATTCTACACCCCCCAGAATGGGGCGGACATCGCCCTACTTGAGCTCAAGAACCCTGTAAACATTTCCAGCCATGTCCACCCCGTCTCCCTGCCTCCTGCCTCAGAGACCTTCCCCTCGGGAACATTGTGCTGGGTGACAGGCTGGGGGAACATCGACAATGATGGTATGCCGTAGGGACAGCTGAGGGCCCAGCCATGCCACATACATCCCCGTCCACCAAGTTGGCTCGGGGAGTGCAAATCTGATGACTTAGAAAGTAGGAAGGTATCAGAACAGGGCTTCCGAGTTCCGTAAGCCAGGGTAGCTAGAACAAGTTATCTGGTACCTCGAGTCTGTCTCTCCGTGTCTGAAGAGGCAGCTTGTACTCTGGAGGTTTGATTGAGGAGGAAAGAGACCACACTTATCAACAACATCACACATCTGAGGGAAGAAGCTGGCCACGACGGCAGGAACTAGCCTTTCAAGGGCTCCAGGTGTGTGGGGCTGGACAGCGCCTTTGGGAGCCTCCAGCACCAGTTTTCCTTCTCCCTAGTGGTCTTGCTTCATTTCTTTTGACAGAGCAGAGCTTTAGGGATAGGGCAGTGAGCAGGCCCTGGCTGTGGACCTCAGGATGAAGCCTTGGGACAGGACCCAGTCTCCCCATACACAGAGGTGGGTGGAGGGGCAGTGTCCAAGACCAGGGCTCCGCTGGAATCCTTTACCCAGCCTAGGCCAGAGCCAGCCGTGCTTAGGGCAGATGATGGCCTTCGCCCCTGCCCTCCACTGACCAGGTGGCTCTTTAATGACCCTCAGGACTGTCCTCCTTCTATGAATAAGGTCAGAAATCCAGGTCCAGCCTGGAGGAAGAAACCAGGTTGGCAGAGCTGGGTGAAGTGGGCCCGCCTCAAGGAGGGTCAGCAGAACTGAAAACAGGGCCAGAGAAGAGAGTTAGCTGAGCCCACCCCAGCCAGCCACCTGCCCACGTGATGGATCTTCCTTTCACCCACAGTGAGCCTGCCACCGCCATTTCCCTTGAAGGAGGTGCAAGTTCCCATTGTGGAAAACCAGCTTTGTGACCTGAAGTATCACAAAGGTGTCTACACAGGGGACAACATCCACATTGTTCGCGATGACATGCTGTGTGCTGGGAATGAAGGACACGACTCCTGCCAGGTGAGCTCATGTGCCCTCATTGCCCTGCCACCTCCACCCAGCCTTTACAAGAGCACTAACCCCTCTCCTCTCCAGGGTGACTCCGGAGGACCTCTGGTCTGCAAGGTAAATGGTACCTGGCTGCAGGCAGGTGTGGTCAGCTGGGGTGAGGGCTGTGCGCAGCCCAACAGGCCTGGCATCTACACTCGGGTCACCTATTACTTGGACTGGATCCACCGCTATGTTCCCAAGGACTTCTGAGTCACTTCCAGAGTCAAGGGAGAACCAGATCTCTGCTGTTCCCAACACGCTGCTTCCTGCCAGGGCGGCATTCCTGCCTTCTTCTCCTCCCACCTCCCCCATCCCTCTGCTCCTCCTCCTGAGCCCCGATTCTGTTCCATCTGAGCCCCTGGCCACTCCTGTCCCTTCCCCCCAGGTAGCCCCACTGTGTAGCCAGCCACCCTTTGCTATAGCTCATTAAAATGCACGAAAGCAGCCAGGGGTTTTGCTGTGTTTTTGGATGTCAACAGGGGAAAATGAAGTGCTTGGGATTGATTGCTGGGGTGACATTGCTTAAGTTTTGGGGTACCAGACCATAGGGTTTGGCTGCTACAGTGAGGCGGGACCTCCTTACCACCTGTCCATGAAGTTAACTTCTCTCTACACAAGTTCATTTCTTCTGGGTAAGGGACATCACACCCTTGGGATCCAAGAAAGAGCAGGGTCACTTTAAGAGATAAATGATGGGGCTGGGGGCTGGTGAGATGCCCCTCAGGTCCTAGCCTGAGGACCTAGGACCTACATGGTGGAAGGACAGAACACAAATTGTCCCCTTGCCTCCACACATGCAGGCCATGGTATATGCCCCCACACCTACCCCCTCCCACACACAATCATGATCACAATAAAAATGAGCAAATAAATACAATTTTAAAATGTAAAGATGCTGGGTGGTGGTGGTGGCGGCGGCAGCGGCGGCAGCGCACGCCTGTAATCCCAGCACTCTGGAGGTGGAGGAAGGTGGATGAGTTCAAGGCCAGCCTGGTCTACAGAGAGAGGTGTACAGAGAAACCCTGACTCGAAAAACAAAACAAAACAAAAAGTAAAGATAAACATGGACTGGAGAGATAACACAGTACAGAGCTTGTTCTACAAGCGGGAGAACCAGAGTTAGGTCCCCAGAATCCATAAGGAAAAAGCGAGTGTGGTAAGATATGGTTGTAGCCCATATGGAGAGACAGAAACATGCAGCCTAGAGAAATGAGAAGTTTGCAAAATCTAGACACTGTGTTTTGTTGTCTTTTTTGGAGGGGCAGTGTTCAGGATAGAGTTTCTCTGTGTAGCCCTGGCTGTCCTGGAACTCGCCCTGTAGACAAGCTGGCCTGGAATTCATAGAGATCCACCTTCCTCTGCCTTCTGAGTGCTGGGGTTAAAGGCCTGCGCCACAACCACCCAGCTAAGACATCCTGTTAAAACAAACAAACAAACAAACAAACAAAGAGGATAGCACCCTGAGGAACGACATCCAAAGTTGACCTCTGACCTTCACATGGAGGTACAGACATGTACATACATACAGAGAGAGGGGGCAGAGAGAGAGAGAGAGACAGAGAGAGAGGGGACAGCAAGGCTCTCCACAAACAAGCCAGGAAATGCAGTGAAGCCTGCACCCTTCCCCTCACTCAGGCACCACCCTGCCACCCTACAAGGTAACAAGAGGTAACAAGAGACATCCTTCTTTGCCGGAATGACAGTCCACATGACTGTGCCCAGTGGGGAGTGTCTCTGGGGCTCACCATCCCACAGACATTGTGAGGATCTCACACTGCTGAGCTCAGCGCCATCCTGCTCCTCAAAATGCCACGTGGTAGCTGCACTCAGCTGCAGCAGTGGACTTCAGGGTGTCCCCTTCGGGCCTCTCAGCTCATTACTGTCTCTGTGCACATAGGTACCTTGTCTGGAGCCTGCTGGCAAGGGACGGGGCTGGGATCTGGGGGGGCCAGATCTCCATTTGTCTAAACAATAGAAAACCGCTCCCTTGGGGAGATGTGTCTTCGCCTCCCATCAACAGTCAAGAAAAAGTGACAAGGGCTGTGCTGTTGCTAATACTGGCTGTCCCTCCTCATTTACGTGTGCGTGAGTGCATGTGTGTGTGTGTTTGTGTGTGTGTGTCTGTGTGTTTGTGTGTAAACCAGAGGTCAGCGTCAAGTGTCTTTTTTTTAATTTTCATTTTTTATGTGTACTACTGTGAAAGTGTCAGATCCCTTGGAATTGAGAATTCCCAATTGGCGTTACAAACGGTCAAACAGTTGTGAGCTGCCACGTGGTTGCTGGGAATTGAATCTGGGTCCTTTGGAAGAGCAGACAGTGCCCTTAACCACTGAGCCATCTCTCCAGCCCCTGTCACGTGTCTTTAAAAAAAAAAGTTCTCTCACTTGCCTGGGGTTTGCTCAATTAGCCTAGGCTGGCTCATCAGTATGACCAAAGGTCCTGTCTCCTACTTTCCAGCCACAGGATCACAAGTGTGTCACAATACCCAGGGTTTTTTGCTTCATTTCGTTTTACTTTGTTGTTGTTGTTGTTGTTTAAGATTTATTTATTTATTATGTATACAGCATTCTGTCTGCATGTTCAGCTGAACACCAGAAGAGGGCACTAGATTGCATTACAGATGGCTGTGAGCCACCATATGTTTGCTGGGAATTGAACTCAGGACCTTTGGAAGAGCAGCCAGTGCTCTTAATTTCTGATCCATCTCTCTAGCCTACTTTGTTGTTGTTGTTGTTGTATTTGTTGTTTAGCCTTCCTGCTCTCCTCCTAGTAATTCACCCCAACCTTCCCTCTCCCCTCTGCCTCCACTCCTCTTTAGAAAAGGGCAGGCCTCCCATGGACATCAACCTGCCATGGCATATCAAGGTACAGTAAGTCTAGGCACCTCCTCTCCTATTAAGGCTAGGCTGGGCAACCCAGTAGGAGGAAAGGGTCTCAAAAGCAGGCAACAATTCCTGCTCCCACTGAAGGAGCCCCACAAAAAAGACCAAGCTAACAACTATAACATATGTTCAGAGGGCCTAGGTCAGGCCCATGCAGGCTCCTGGGTTCTCAGTCCTGTCTCCATGAGCCCCTGTAGGCCCAGGTTAGGTGATTCTGTGGGTTTTCTTGACCCCTCTGGCTCCTACAATCCTCCCCTTCTTCCCCAGGATTTCCCAAGCTCTGCTTAATGTTTGACTCTGTGGGTCTCTACAGCTGTTTTCATCAGTTGCTGGGCTAGGCACCAATCTATGAGGGTAGCGGAGTATCGTTAGGAATCATTTCATTGCCTTTTTTTTTTTTTTTTTTGGCTGGTCATGTTTGTTTCTGTCATCTGGTCTTTGGGCTCTCCAGCCTCTGGTTCCTGACCCTCCAGGCAGTGTCAGCAGTGGGCTCACTCTCAGAGCATGGGTCTCAAGCTGGACCAGCCATTGGTCGGCCACTTTCCTGGTTACAGGAGATGGCCGATTCAGGCTGCGTATCGCCTATTGCCAGGAGTCTTAGCTAGGGTCGCTCTCCCGTATTCCTGGGAGCTCCCATTGCACTGGGTTTCTAGCTCATTCCAGAGATGCCCCTCCCCCAATACTTGTCTTTCCTATGGGTTCTTGGGAACAAAATTCAAGTCCTCATACTTACAGCACACACTTGGCTGATGAGCCATCTGCCAAGCCCTGGCTGGTCCTTTGGAGATTTTTAATGAGTAAACGTCACACAGGACACAGGCATCCTGGCTGGGAGGGCTGCCGCTCTGCTACCTGAACCTGACATCTGTGTCTTCATGCTTGTCTCATCTGGTTACAAATAAGCAGTCGTCCCATCTCTTCCAATCGTCCTTCCTTCCCTCCTTCCTTCCTTCCCTCCCTCCCTCCCTCTTTTCTTTCTTCCTTTCTTTCTTTCTTTCTTTCTTTCTTTCTTTCTTTCTTTCTTTCTCTTTCTTTCTGAAACAGGGCTTCTCTGTGTAGCTTTGGCTGTCCTGGAACTTGCTCTGTACACCAGACTGGCTTTGAACTCAGAGATCCAACTGCCTCTGCCTCCTGAGTGCTGGCGTCACAGGCACACACCACCACGCCCAGCTGCCTGCAGTTCTTTAATATATATATACATATATATTAAATATATATATATACATATATGTATATATATATATATATTTTTTTTTTTTCAATCCAGTCTCACTGTGTAGCCCAAGCTGACAACCACCTCATGGTCATCTGCTTCAGCTTCCTGAGTGCTGGGATAGCAGGTGTGTTCCGCATCCAGCACACCTACTAAACATTTGTGCAGCTTCCTGGGTTACGCCTGTATAAATAACATCAGGGTTGCTTTGAGATCCTAGGGCCGCCCAAGTCCGAGGCTACTTCCTGCTGGCAGGTTCCTTTGATGGTGCCACACTGTTTACGAAGAGGGCGGTTTCTGTGCATTCTTGGCCGGCACTGGAAACAAATGTGAGACAACCTGGATTGGGGATGCGTAATGAGGAAGATATATGCTGCAGAGTGTACTTGCCAAAATAGGATGAATATATATCATTGGCCTCTTCTAAAAATAGCCCCATTTCTTTAAATCAGCGCAACCACACAGCCTCCCTTGCTGCTTCCATGCTTTGTATTTTCTTCCTTTCCTGAACTTTTGACATGGGAGCAGCTGTGCTTAGAGAGAGAAAATTTCAGTTTTGTAACAGTATTCTCTCTCTCTCTCTCTCTCTCTCTCTCTCACTCCCTTCATATCTCTGGCTCTCTGGAAGTACTTCTATGGGGCCAACTTTTGTCCCCAACTGATAAATGTCCCTTCAGCCAGCCAGAGGGTAAATTAGAGGCTTCCAGGAGTACACAGTTCACTAGCGTCAAAGAGTCACTTCCTAAGGGGGTGGTTTGAATAAGATGGGTCCCCATAGGCTCATTTATTTGAATGCTTAATCACAGGAAGCAGAACTTAGGGAGTGGAAGAGCTTGGGAAGGATTTGAGGTGTGTTCTTGTTGGAGAGGGTGTGTGGCTAGGAGTGGGCCTTGAGGTTTCAAAGGCCACACCAGGCCCTGCCTGCTGCCTGTAGATCAGGATGTAAAGCTCTGAGCTACTGCTCCAGCCATGGTCTTCTTTGTGCCATGATGATCATGGACTAACCCTCTAAAACTGTAATCACTCCCCCAATTAAATGCTTCATTTTATAAGAGTTTTCTTAGTCTCCAGGTGTGGTGGTACACACCTGTAATCCCAGCACTTTGGGAGGCAGA